GCCTGGTGATGCGTCGTCGTTTCGGGTCTGGGGCGCGCTCTCCCTTGTTCGCGATACCAAAGCGAGCAAGCTCTCTCCTCGCACTCTCCGCTGTGTCTTCCTGGGCTTCCCCACCGACGCCCCGCCCTGGCAGTTCTACCACCCTGCCTCGCGTCGTGTTCTGTCCTCTCAGGACGTCACCTTCGACGAGTCGGTCTGTTACTACCGACTTCACCCGCACGCGTCCCACCCGGTCCCCCTCGCACCTCTCTTCCTGGTACCAGTCCCCCCCCCGGTAGACCCCCTTCCCCCACAGGGTCCTGCTCCCTCAGGTGTGTCCCAGGTAGACCCACCCCCCGTGGATGAGCCAGTTGAGATCTCTTCTGACTCCTCTGACTCACCTGAGGGGGGTGACGTCGTCGCCGACGACACGGCGACCACTCGCCGCTCTCCTCGCTTGGAGACCCCCTCGGGTTTCCCGCCACGGCCGTCTTCGCCGCCTCCGCAGCCTGCTGCTGTGGACTCTGGAGCTGAGACTACTGGAGCTGGGGCTAGGGGTGGTGAGTCTGGGGGTGCCCGCTCTCCTCGTCTGGCTACCCCCCCCGGGTTCCCACCTCTGCCGTCTTCGCCGCCTCTGCAGCCTGCTGCTGTGGACACTGGAGCAGAGACTGAGGGTACTGAGCCTGGGGGTGCTGGGACTGAGGGTACTGAGCCTGGGGGTGCTGCGAGTTCGGGTGCTGACTCTGGGGGTGCTGCGAGTCCTTCTGGTGTTGGTGTCGTCGGAGCTCCTACCGGAGGACCTGGAGCTACTGGTGCTGGAGGTACTGGAGGTGCTGCTGGTGCTGGAGGTCCTGGAGTTGCTGCTGGTGCTGGAGGTCCTGGAGGTGCTGCTGGTGCTGGAGGTCGGGGAGCTGCTGGTGCTGTTGGTGCTGGAGGTCGTGGAGCTGCTGGTGCTGGAGGTACTGGAGGTGCTGCTGGTGCTGGAGGTCGTGGAGCTGCTGGTGCTGCTGGTAATGGAGGTGCTGCTGGTGCTGGAGGTACTGGAGCTGCTGGTGCTGGAGGCGCTGGAGCTGCTGGGGCTGGAGGTGCTGGAGGTGCTGGAGGTCCTGGTGGAGCTACTGGTGCTCTTCGCCACCTTCTCAGTCTTCAGCCAGGTGCTACTGGCTTCCCTGTGGCAGGTACTACCCCTCCGTTGCTGTGTCCACCGGCGGACCAGTCACAGCCGCCGCTGCTACCACATTCCCTACTGCCTGCTCCTGCTCCTTACACTGCGGTGTCAGAGTCCCTGACTGAGCGTCGAGAGCCTGGGACTCGTGCTTCCACCCCTGAGCGTCGAGAGCCTGAGTTTAGCTTTGACCTTGAGCCTGAGCCTAGAGCTGCTGTTCGTGCTCGTGTTCCTCGTGTTCGTCGTCAGCGTGCTCCGGCTGTCCCTGGCACTCACGATATGACACTCCGTCCTTCCTCTGTTCCTCAGCGTGTTGTCCTACCGTTACCTCCTGCGTCCTCTCTGCCTGACGTTGCTGACCCTCCGTCTGACCTTGCTCGTACGTCCAGTCCGACTGTTACTCGCCTTCTTGCTATGGTTGTGACGGACCCTACGTTCTCGTCTCCTGCTGCGTCTGCCCTAGTAGCTGAGCTCGTTGACTTTGCTGCTGTGTACCGCCTAGACTACCTTGCGAGTCTTGTCTCTGACCCTGTCCCTGCCTGTCCTCCGTCCGTCGGGGGTGAGACTGCTCTTGGCTGTACTGCCCTTGGCTGTGACGTTCTTGAGGACAGACAGGAGGAGCTGGAGTGCCTTGCTGCCGCTTCACCCCATCACGCGACCATGCTGCTTGCGCCTGAGGGAGACCCGGATGCACTTGACATCCCCACCCCGCGCTCCTACAGGGAGGCGATTTCGGGTGAGTACTCCTCTCAGTGGCAGACAGCCATGGACGCAGAGATGGCTTCCTGGAAGTCCACAGGCACCTACGTCGACGAGGTTCCCCCACCTGGGGCGAACATCGTCAGTGGCATGTGGATTTTCAGGGTGAAGCGGCCGCCGGGTTCTCCGCCTGCCTTCAAGGCACGTTACGTTGCTCGAGGCTTCAGTCAGCGTGAGGGGGTCGACTTCTTTCAGACCTTCTCCCCCACCCCGAAGATGACCACTCTTTGGGTGTTGCAACACGTTGCAGCTCAGCGTGACTACGAGCTGCACTCCCTCGACTTCTCGACAGCTTTCTTACAGGGTAGCCTTCACGAGGCCATCTGGTTGCGCCGTCCACAGGGCTTCACTGGGTCGTTTCCAGAGGGTACCCAGTGGAGCCTTCGGCGACCAGTCTACGGCCTGCGTCAGGCGCCCCGCGAGTGGCACGACACACTGAGGACGACACTTGCGGCTCTTGGGTTTGCTCCTTCGACTGCTGACCCGTCGCTGTTTCTACGCACCGACACTACTATGCCGCCGTTCTACATCCTCGTGTACGTCGACGACTTGGTTTTTGCTACTGCTGACACTGAGGCACTCGCCCTAGTGAAGGCGGAGCTGCAGGAGAGACACACCTGCACTGACCTGGGTGAGCTGCGGAGCTATCTTGGCTTGCAGATCACCCGGGACAGAGCACGGCGCACCATCACCCTGATTCAGTCACACATGGTGCACCAGGTCCTACAGCGCTTCCGCTTCACGTACTCCTCGCCACAGCCCACTCCTCTGGCTACCGGCCACTCGCTCTCAGCTCCACCTTCGGACGAGTCCGTAGAGCCGAGTGGTCCGTACCCAGAGCTTGTGGGCTGCCTCATGTACCTGATGACGTGCACACGACCTGACCTCGCGTACCCTCTCAGCCTTCTGGCTCGCTACGTGGCACCCGGTAGACACCGAAAGGTGCACTTTGATGCTGCGAAGAGGGTACTGCATTACTTGTGCAGCACATCGGGCATGGGGCTCGTGCTAGGAGGACGGGGTTCGGTGGTCCTCACAGGACACTCTGACGCTTCTTGGGCCGACGACCAGGCGACTCAGCGTTCGTCACAGGGTTACACCTTCAGTCTTGGCTCTGGTTCTGTCTCTTGGAGGTCCACTCGTTCTTCTTCTGTGCTTGGTTCCAGCTGTGAGGCCGAGATCTACGCTGGGGCCATGGCTGCACAGGAGCTCCGCTGGCTGACCTACCTGCTGACCGACTTGGGGGAGCGGCCTCGTTCTCCTCCGGTTCTGTACGTCGACAACAGGGCAATGCTTGCCTTGTGTCGCGAGCAGAGACTGGAGCACAGAACGAAGCACATTGCTCTGCGCTACTTCCTTGCGCGTGAGCTGCAGCAGCGTGGTCAGCTGCGCCTTGTTTTCGTGGCCTCTCGGGCCAACACTGCTGATGTCTTCACTAAGTCCCTTGGGGCTGGTGATCATCAGCGTTTCTGCACTGCTCTTGGGCTTGTGCCCACTCTGCCTCACCTGCTGGTTGCTTGACTTGCTCTTGTTGTACACTGCTATATATCTTTATACCTGCATGTTTACTCTTGCTAGGTTGTGATCAGTGTACTGCCTTGCTATTATAACTCTGCATGTGAACTGGCCTTGTGGCCGCCTGCTTGTGCTCAGATTGTGTGGTGTCCTTGAGATCCACTCTGGGCTTTGCCTTGCTTGTTTTCTTGCTTGACTGGTCTTGTGACCACTGTTAGGTTTGGCTATCCCCTACTTCACCTATGGGGGTGTGTCAAAACATATTGTTCTGCTTATTTCACTCTAGGTTGTGTAGGGTTCTTTCCTTAGAGGGTACAACATTCTCTCTCGATAGTCCTTGTACCCCCCCCCCTTACCTAATCGACATTCATCACCTAGCTAGTGATTCTAACAGTGGAAGGGGATGGGGAGGCGCTGGGGCACCTGCCTGCAGTCTTCATAATACCCCCAGGGGCTATTGACCTCCTTGTTTAGCCTTTCTCTTTGGACGAGTATGCTCTATTGCGAATTGACTTCTAGAGAATCGGGTAACCAGTTGTTTCTTGCACCCTCTCTTGTTGCGGTAATTGCGCATCTGTAAGCTTTGTGCAAGCATGTAGGTAACTATCCAGTAATTTATGCTGCTTCGCGCCATCTTGAAACAAAATCATGCAAGCAATTAGATTAGACAACTTTGGAGGCCACGCCACCTATGGTACAATTCATACATAAAATCTTAACGCGGACAGAACTTGTGAAACTCACCGAACTTGTGAAACTCACCGAACTTGGCTGCTTAGCTAGTGGGGTCTGTTGCATGTGCGGATAAATCATAGGCGAGACGACACTACGTCAAGTGGCTCTAGATGTGGTCTGCGTATTAGTCAGTTTTTGCCTTTGCCAGTTCGTTGATTCCATTTTTACGTTCCACTTCAACTTGCGCAGAACCTGCTACCAGGCAATTACGCTTCGTGGCCTTCGCATCACCGTGGTAACCCTAACTGCTCCTCGTCGCCTTGCCAATCTGCTATTATGAAAGGCTCACGACTCAAATCATCTCCCGAGGACGATCCGCACGACTGTCTTCTGTTTTCACTCCCCGACGAGCTCCTAACCCTAACTCTCACCCGTCTGGATCGTTCCCACGATCACTGCAGCGTCTCTCTCTCCTGCTCCCGCCTCCGCCGCCTCTCCCGCCGCACGCCCCACTCGCTCCACCTCAATTTCGTCTCACTCTCTCCGAATCCCAACAGAAACGGGTGGTCCCAAGATTTGGATAGATTTTCGGGGGTATTTACCCATATTCGTGAGCTGACCGTCGAGGTTTGTACGAATCCGGCGGGAAACGAGCTGCTGGGGGAAGTTGGCGCGGCGTGCCCGAAACTGGAGCGGTTGAGTGTGGTGGGGATATGGGCGTGGTTTTTCCTGAACGATGCTGTATTGGTGAAGCTCGGGAAGCAATGCCCGTGAGTTGTACTACCAACCAACATACACTATTGGCCCCAACCCCATCCCCTGCCTTCCCCTTCCCCTCCCCACCCCTCCCTCTCCCCGTTCCGAGTCAACTAAAAAATGATATTGCTGCACTGAAGCTCGCCAAGCAATGCCCATGAGTTATAGTAGGGCCCAACCTGTATCGCGTAGGTGTTGTACACACTCTGCCTTCTCCCCTCCGTTCCCCCTTCTTGCCCCTCCCCAACCCCTTCTTCCCCCTTGTGCTCGTTTTTTTTTAGGAGCACTCCTCCCCTTTCCCCCTTGCCCTTTCCCCTTCTCCCCTCTGCCGTCGCCTGTGTTTCCACCTCCCCTCCCCCTTTTTCCCCCCCTCCCTCCCGCTCTTGTCCCTGTCCTTTCCCATTCTCCCACCTTGCTCCCGCTGCCATTTCCTCACTTTTCCCAATATGCCTTCTCCCTCGTCCTTTTCCATCTTTCTCGCTGCGTCTCCTTCCCCCCCCCTTCCCCCCCCCCCCGACTCTCTCCCCTGTTCCCCTGCGCTTTCCCCTCTTTTTCGGTGCTCTCAATCTCCGGCTTTCTTCCCTGTCTTCTTCCTCCCTTCCCTCTGCCCTCTCCCTGTCTCCCCGCTGCCTTCAGCCCTTCTTGCCCTTTCACTCCAATATTTTTTTCACGTCCGATCTCCCCTCTTTCCCCTGCCCTCCGTGCCCTTCCCTTATGCCCTGTTCACTCAGCCTCTCCCCTCTGTCGTTTCCTGTCTTCCTGTTTCCCCCTTTCCATCCCCCCCCTCTTCCCCTCTTCTCTTAAATCCCAATCTCCCCCTTCTTCCACTGCGCTCTTCCCTTCTACCCCTCTTTCCCTGTTCTCCCCCCTTCCCCCTGCTCTCCCGCCTATGCCTGCTTCTCCCCCGCCTCTCTCTCCATTCACCCCGCTCGTTTCCCCTCTCTCCTTAATGTCCCCCCTCACCCCCAACCTTCTCAACCCCCGACCCCGTTCACCCAAGCTCCCCATTCCATTCTGCTTTCTCCCTTTCGTCTCCCCTTCCCCTGTTCCGCTTCCCCCACTCCCATCCCCTCCAATTCTTCCCCCCTTTTCCCCCCATCAGCCTCTTGACGTCGCTCACTTTCGACTCCCCGTGGGATTGTTGCTGGATCCACAGGCATAACAACAACTACACCTCCGTCCCTCCATTCGATGTCTTCCCCGCCCTCCACTCCCTCTCCCTCCTCCTCCACGCCCCTCCTCTCGACTCCCTTCCCCATTGCTCCTCCCTCACGTCTCTCTCCCTCTTCAACCCCCCCCTCTCCACCCTCTCCTCCCTCGCCTCCTCCTCTCTCCGCCCCACCCTCAAAACCCTCAATCTCGAATCAGCGAAACTAGTGGCCTGCCTCGCTCCTCTCGCCTCCTTCCCCTCCCTCTTGTCCCTGAACCTCCACTCCGGCAGCATCGACCCTTCCGAGATGCACGCCCTCTCTCGCTCCCTCCACACGCTCACCCAACTAGGCATAATTGACTGCCCGTTGATCTCCAGTCACTCCCTTGCCACCGTTGCCCAAGCCAACCCAGCCCTCTCCTCCCTCTCTCTCCAAAGCACCACATATCACCTCTTCAGCGCACAAGGCCTCTGGTCTTTCCTGCGCGCCCCTCCCTCCCACCTGCACTCGCTCTCATTCTCAGGGCTGCCCTCATTCCGCCCCGGCCTGCTTGCTCGCTGCAGTGGCCTACAGTCTTTGATGATCACCGGTAGGTGGGAGGTTGCGTCGGGTCTCAGCGTCAGGGCTTGTGAGAATGAGGCTGGGGAGGAAATGAAACGATTGAAGTGGGGTTGGGAGGTGGCTTGGGTGACTGGGGATCGAAGTGTGGGCGTGCGAGAGGTGGGTTTGATGGGGGGAGGAACGTCGAGAACGATTCAGCCGGTGTCTCTTGAGAGCCTTGTGAGTATGCTGGTGGTGGAGGTGCGGAGGGGAGGGGGAGAGGGGGCAGTGGGAGTGGAGTGTAAAGATGACGGTGCAGAGGGTGGGGAGGAGGGTGAGGTGAAGGAAAGGGAAGCAGTGGAGGCAGGCAAGAGTGAGGGGGCTGTAGAAACTATGGATTCTGCTGCTGCAGCCGCTTCAGCACGAGAGGGAATAGAAAGCACAGCTACTACATCAGCAGCAGTAGCACCAACAATTGTTGTCGACTCAAGGAACGAAGGGAGGAGGGAGTATGATTATGAGTATATGTATGTGGATATTCGAACAGCAGCAGCAGCCGCGCATGCAGACCTGATCGCGGCGCGCAACTGCGCGTTTAAACTAATGAAAGAGGCCAATGAGGTCATAAGAGGCGTGTTCATCAAAGCCGCTAGAGCCGATGATCCGTGGGGTGAGAGCACCCTAAGCGAGATCGAATCAGCAACTACCATCATTAGGTCCGCTATCGCCTTGTGCCGGCCGCTGCGTGTGGCGATTTCGGAGCAAGCTGTAGCGACAGAGAGGGAGGATGCGATGATTGAGGCGTTTTCCGCTGCCGAAGCTGCAGCCGTGTTTATGAAGAGGGATATTTGGGAAGGAGCGAGCGAGGGAGGAGTGGCGCTGCTTGAAGACATGGATGGTGTACTGCTTGACAATGCTGTGGCTGGGAATGGGAATGGGGGTGATGGTGATGGTGGTGAGGGAGAGGGGGAGGCTGCTGCGGGGAACATGAGTCCTCGTACACGGGCTTTAAATGTGATGCGGGCATTAATGCTGCAACTGGTTGATGAGAGGAGGACGACGTTTGAGGTCTTTGAACGCATGCGCACGCGCGTGGCTCGTAGTGGTGCTGGGCGTCCCGCAACAGCAGCAGGTGGCGATGCTGCTGCTTCTGCTGCTGGTGCGGCTGCTGCTGCTGTTGCTGGTGCGGATGCTGCTGCTTCAGTAGGGGGTGGTGTCCCTGGTGCTACATGTGTGGCAGCAGCAGATGGGACAGCAGTCGTAGGTGATGCAGCAGCAAGAGTGGGGCAAGCGAACAGAGCAGTTTTCAAAGCGTCACAGCAAGGGACAAGGATGCAAGGAGAGGGAAGGCACAAAGATGCATTGCAGGAAAAGGAAGAGGTTACAAGCCTGGGAAACATGAGCAGTGGCAACAAGTCAAAAGGCAGCCAGGATTCAATCAGCAGAAACGCAGACACATCTGTTAACACAAACACGGCCGGGGAACAGACCGATACGACGAGAAAAGGCGTTTCTGGAATCCCTGTGGAAGTGATCTGCCCTCCCCTGAAGGCCTTATGTCTTCAGAGTTTTCACTTCACGGCCACTCCCGAGCCTACCTGGCTGCCTCCGCACCTCCCCTCTGCATCCCCTCTCATGTGCCTCACCTCCCCCAGTCCACCCTCCTCCTCATCTTGTTCCTCTTCGTTTCCCGTCCCAAGCCCGAGTGCCCAGCCTCAGTCCTTCGAGTCCCTCTCACTCGCATCAGCTTTCCGAGGGCTCAAGCAACTCTCACTGCTGTCTTGCTCTGGTTTGGGGGAGGAGCAGGTGCTGCTGCTGCTCCGTGCTTGTCCCGTTTTGGAATCACTAGTGGTGGAAAACAATGACTGCTTCTCAGACCGGGTGCTCGCACGAAGCAGGCTGGAGGGTCTCACGCGATTGAGCATGGTTGGATGCGGTGCCATCACTCCAGCCGCCATTGGGATGCTGCTAGGAAGCTTCCCGAAGTTGCGTCATTTGAATGTGGAGGCAAGAAAAGTTGAGGCAAGGGATCGAAGTGAGTTGCTTCGAGCAGGCGTGATTCTCGAGAGGCAGCGTACATTGGACTAAATGACCTGCCAAACAGACAGCATGGTTTGGGTATATCTGAGTCAGTTTTGAGAAATCGCAAAAGTTGCTCTGTACAGGAGTGATTCTCCGGGGAGGCAGCAGGTATTGGAGCTTAAAGAGCAGCCAGACAAAGTGCGCATGGAATAGAGAGCAGCATTGATCTTAGCAAAGTCAAGAGCAAATACATCTACCCCCTTTCCCATCAGCTGCAACCAGTTCGGCACCTGCTGGTCCTCAGTGTACTCAGTCACCCAGGCGTCCTCAAGACGGCCGAAGCACTTGTACTCAGTGTGCGGCTTCCCGCAGACTGTGCCCTTCAGAGGCCCCATGCGCCGGACATAAGGGCAACGACCAGAGCCCCCAGAGCCCCCACGCTGGAGAACCCACTCACGGAGCTGCTGGTCGGTGCGGAGATTACTATTGCAACGGGAGCTAGACTGCGGGCTAGGCATGGATGCTCGTGTGATCTCTGCGTTCGTTCCTTCCTTAGTCGTTTCCAAGTGCCAACACTACTTGCTAGTTCACAGGGAAAATTGGCAAGAGTTTCACTAGGAAAAACATGACAACAACAGTTCAGAATAATTTCAGCAACATTGGCAACAATGACTACATCAGACCTAGCAAGACTGCTGGTCCACTGCCAGCGCAGCACGGTCGACCGCGTGCCAGCACGACTTGGTCGACCGCGCTCCAGCAGAGCAGAGTCGCGGCTTGCCAACGTTGCAAGTCCGCGGTGTGCCAACGCTGTAGTAAGTCGGCTGCACAGCGTTGCATCCGCGGGACAACGGTGCACCAGCTTCGCAGGTGCGTGCAGCTGGTTGGCGCCCGATTCCCCGTCACTTGCCCAGCGCAGACACTTCACCCGTGACGGCGCCCACCAGCCACGTCGACCTCGGGATACCACCCCCGAGGTCGTCCTCGCAGACAACATCCCCGGCGACTTTCGCGCACGTCGCCCGGGTATCCTGGTTGACCGGGTATTTCGTGGCTCCCACGGACCACTGCGATTTCGTGGCTCCCACGGACCACTGCGATTTCGTGGCTCCCACGGACCACTGCGATTTCGTGGCTGCCACGGGCCACTGCGATTTCGTGGCTGCCACGGGCCACTGCGATTTCGTGGCTCCCACGGTCGGCTCCGCCCAAGCGAGGACGGGGCCAAACACAACTCCCGTTGACAGTCGGTGGGGTTGTCCGGGAGGCGCGGCAGCTGCTGACCACTCCCGTAGCCACGGGAGGGTCCACGAGCGCCACCACCCCTGCCAGACCCACCCCGACCTCCTTCGCCGCCCCCGCTACCCCAACCGCCTCCCCCACCACCGCCGCCTCCTCCACCCTGTCCGCCTCCTCCACTGCCGCCACCCCCAGAGCCACCCCCAGAGCCTCCACCACCCCCGCCACCACCCCCGCCACCCCCTCCGCTGCTGCCACCACCACCACCCCTGCCCCCTCTGCCCTTGCTGTTGTTGCGCCTTCCACTGGGAGCAGACGCAGCGCCAACGTCCTCAGTACCAAGGAGGTCGACTGCAGTAGCGGTAGCAACTGAGGGGAGGAGTGGGGAGGGAGTACACCCTTCAAAGAAGGGGGAGCGGGGAGTGCCTCGAGAGGCAGCGACAGCGACAGTGCTCTTCTCAGCCTCGAGAAGGGCCTGCTCAAGTCAAGTGTGAGCTCAGTGGGGTCCATGGCTAGGAACTGGTCCCTGATAGTGCGAAGGGAGTCAGGGAGGCGAGTGATAAGAAAGTACAGGGTGAAGTACTGCGGGGGGGGGTTCTTAGCGAGAAAGGCCGGCTTGAGAGCGGCACGGAAGTGATCCTCACTAGAGCGGAGGTAGGTAAAGAGGTCAGAGATAGTGCGTAACTCAGCTAGATCGGGATGCAGGTACGGCTGCATGAGACGGCCTACAGCAGCAGTATCTGGGGAGGAGTAGCGAGCAACGACAACATCATAGAGATCCTTGGCCGTTTTCTGCCAGCTAAAGTGCGCGCGCTCAGTGACGGGCAGGTGGTTGCGGACAGCAAGGCGGGCAGGTGCATCACGCATGGGCCACTTAGACAGATCCTCTACGGCGTCGGCAGCAGCGGCTGGGAGCTTTCCCTCAGTGTGCAAAAACAGAGAAATACCATCCTTAGACTCGCTCTGCAGGATCAGATGAAGATCGTCGAGCCATACATCAAAGGTAATCGCGCGGCCCTCAGCATCGAACGTAAGAACTGACAGGTTGGCCATAGCAGCAGTAGCACCTGTAGCAAGTGCAGTAGTAGCAGCAGCAGCAGTAGCACTAGCTGTAGCAGCAGTAGTTGCAATAGCAGCAGTAGTGACAGCTCGGGCTGGGCGGCGCGGCTCGGACAGGGCGGCACGGCTCGGGCTGGGCGGCGCGGCTCGGCAGGGCGGCGCGGCTCAAAATGGGCGGTGCGGCTCGGGCTCAGTGGCGGAGCAGCAGCGGCACGCAGCAGCAGCAGCCGGCGCCCAGCAGCAGTAGGCGCGCACGGGCTGTGGGCTTGCAAACCAGGGGCGCGCAGTAGGTGCGCGCGGGGCAGCTCAAACGGGGCGCGCAGCAGGTGCGCGCTAGGGGCTGGCAGGCAGCGCGCGTGGCGCGCGCAGCAGCAGGAACGAGGGGGGACCGGGCGCAGGGGCTAACAGGCCGCGCGAGTGGCGCACGGGGCAGCTAGGGCGCGGTCAGGAGGGGTCGCGACTGTGAGAAAAAACGGGCCGCCGCACGGGCCGTTTAGGAAGGGTCGCGACTGTGAGAGTGGGGGCGCCAGCGCGCTGACTACTGTGTAGGGCGTGGCGCTACCACTAGGCGGAACGGTGGGCCCACGAAGGAACGGTTCCTACTCTGATAACATGTCAAAACTAGAACTAGGAATGAGTGATTGAAGTAGGCAAGAGATGAGTACAAGTAGGGGAAACCTAGCCCTAAAGTGTTGTACTCACTAATGAGTGACCTTACTGTAGCCTAGAGACACAATTGTAATTTGACAGCTCCTCGCGTCCATGAAAATAACAGGCGCTCCTTCGGCACCGGCGGATCCTTGGCCCCAACGGTCGAGATTGACCGTGACCTCCCTCCTCATGGGTGGTGGGCAGCTGTGGCTGTCGCACATTAACTACGTGAGTTAACTGTTTACGATTTCCGTCAATTATGGAGCTATTCTGTGTGGCAGCTGGTGTCGGCGGATCGTCGTCAGTGCACGTCCGAGATCGTCGGAAGAAACGTGGCGCGAGTTGGTGTCACTACATCGTCGTCAACTGCGCACGAGAAAATCGGAAGTTGCTGCGTGCGGCAAGTGGCGTCGGGCTTTTCATCACGTTGAGCACGAGAATTTGGGAAGCTTTCGGCACGTAGTGACTGTCGTCACTGTGTGCGAGGATTTCGGGTGGCGTCACGTGTAAAAAGGCAGCTGGCCGGGCGGGCCAGGCACATGGTGATTTGCGTCGGAAAACGCAACGGCGAGGCATGACGACTGCCCGAAGAAAGCGGGGGTCTACCGTCGTCCCGCCCGGGTGTAGCGGTGTTGCTGAAGCAGGGTGCGACGTTGGCGTTTTCGGCAGGACGACATAGTGTGGGACGAAAGTTGTTTTTCAAACCACCGAAAAGTTCGGAACATACGCCTATGACTAGACAGTCTATCGTTAGGGTCACTTCTGCGCCTGCAACAAAATTGGCGAAGGTTTGGAGCAACAAGAGCAATCGATACTATACTTCAGGCGGCACAGGACCCCCTGATCAAGGGTAGTTGTGCCGCAAACAATGACGCAGTGTCTAGACCCGTGATTTTCGGGGGTTCTACTAGCTACAATATACGGAGTTGCGTCGAGTACGGGTCTAGCGAGAGGAACGAGTTTCGGGCTTCAGGAGGCGAGAATACAACCTACAAAATTAGACTCTTGGCTGATGCCGGGTTTTCACGGCTAAGTGGCGGTAGCCGGGTAGCTTAGAAGGCGGCCTAAAAGGCGACAGTCCTATTGGCACTAGACGAATAACGTGGGGCCTTGTGTTTAGCCCTGTGCTGGTTAAAGGCGCGGATATGCGCAAGTTCAACAGCTGGGCGTAAAAGAAAAATTCACAGTGGCGTGTGGAGTAACGTGACCCTGTTTTGGCCCAGCCAAACAGTTACCCCGCCGAAAAAGTCGGAGTTGAAAAGGTTGTGGCAGCTGTCGAGGTTTTTTCCTAATTCAGCGGTCTATTCGACGGAGGTTTAGCGGCGAAGATGGAGTTCTCGAAGCTGTGGAGTTTTAAACGCGATAGACGAGATGGGCAGCGAAGCAGCCAGCCTGAACGTTTGATATGATAAACGATCTCTGACTACGATAGAGTTCACGCTCACCGAGTGTTAGAAAGATCGTGGCCAACACGGAGTTATACCTCATCCGACAAATGCGGCTGCTGGGTGAACGGTGGCTCACCGATATTGTCGGGGGGGTGAAACAAATAAAAAGAAGGTGGGGGGCGGGTGAGCATCTGCTCGCCAGAAGATTTGCGGTGTACTTCGAAGTTACCTGGGGAAGTTCTACGGCGAGATCTGCAGCGTTGATGCGGGCTAGGTTCCGTCAAATTCGGTCCCGGTAGACCCGTAGTTCTGGGTTACATACAAGAGAGCACCCCATCTCGGTGGGTTGCTAGTGTGGTTAACCACAGGCGATAAAAATGGCGACGGGTGGGCACGCTAAAAATACCGGTTCTTTTTGGAGGATAATCAACAAGCGACCAAGACGTACACGGTGGATTTTCGTCACCGACAATTGCGGCTACTACGAGCAGTTCCGAGGATGAGAT